ACTTCCTCCCTCCCCCCCCTCCCCGTTCCCCGGCTCCCCTCTCCGCCCCGCCTCCCTCCTAGGTAAAGGGAGATAATCCTTCCCCCCATCTTGACCGCCCCCTGCCTTCGCCACCAAAAAACGGACTCCGCCGGCTCCTGCTGGCCTGATACCAGTGATTGGATCCAAGGGAATTCCGAAACCCAAACGGTCCATTACCGCGGCTCTGGGGTGGGCGAGGGGTGAGGGGGCCGGGTTGCCGCGAAGGGGGAGGGGGAAGTCGAAGGCTGCCTAGGAAAGTCACGTGTCTACTGTTTCCGCCGGCGGTCGCTTAAACCTCGCGAGAATTAAACCCCCTTTCTCCCGCGCCGGCTGTCGGGAAGAAGGTCTGCGTTTTTTGGTGCCACCAGGAGGTCATGGGGGCCGCGCATGCGTCCTACACCTGCTTTCAAAGTCCGGCTGGGAGGGGCCCGAAGCTATTTTCAGAATCCTGTCAGTGGTAGCTACGGCCCAGGAAGTTACCTGGTGGCGTTGTTGTTACTTTGAAAACCTCATTTCCTAAGCATCCAAGAAAAAAAATGTTGACATAATCACGGCTTGCTAGTCTCGCTCCAAGCACTTTACTGAGTATGAAACCGCAAGGAACTCGCAGCCCCTCGGCTAGTCCACGCCATTATCCCGCGGTAAGGAGAGTGAGCCCGCAGCTCCGCTCTGGCTCCGCACACAGCGGCCGCCTGTCCCCGGGGCTCTCCATTCGCGACTGCTGGAAGATAGAGCGACGCTGCCATTTCTCCCTTCCTTCGTTTCGCTTTTGAATCATTATTAAGTGGCCTGACTTAGACTACACACATGAACTTCTCGGCAGCCCTTTTGTAAAGTCATTCTGATCCTGCTGTTTGACTCCGTTGCTTAGGTAATAAGCACGCCTGGGTGATTCTTGCCCCCTACTGGCTGCGCGTCCCGCTCGCGCTGTGCTGAAACCAAACCGAGAACAGTTAAGGTTAAAGTATGTGAACTCCAAGAAAAAGTATGGAGGGGAAAAGAAGAATGGCAGAATAATTTATGGATCGTCCAACCTAGCGTTTGTATAATGCATATATATTCTATGTCTGCATACGTAAGCCGTATAAACATGTAAAGTGGACAGTATCGTTTCGCTAATCACTTTGCTTCCGTTTTACTTTAATATATTTTTAATTAACACAGTAATTGACATATTTGGGTGCAGTGTGACATTTCAATACAGGTACACTTTATTTGGGGGACGCATTCCCAGACCATTTTATTTTGGCACAAGGTCTCACCCAGACTGGCCTCAAATCTGAGATACTGCCTCAGCCTCCCAAGTAACTGAAATTACGGGCCACACGTGTACCACATATAATGATCAGATCAGGTATTTGACATGTATTTCACTTTATTTTTTAATCTCTGTGTGAGCGTGTGTTCCTAGGGAGCTAGGACCTTTGCACTGAGCTACAGTCTTCAGCACTTTATTATTTGAGACAGAGACTTGCTAAATCATTAAATTGCTTAGCCTGAGCTCAAGTTCCTAATCCTCCTGCCTCAGCCTCCTAGAGCACTCGCTTTACAGGTGTGCTCCACCATGCATGTCTCACATTTGTCACTTTGAACACTTTTCTGTGTGTTGAGAATCTTCAGAATCCTCTTACTAGCGACTCTGAAATAGCCAGTTAGTTGCTGTCAACCCAAATTACCCTACTATACTACGGAACATTACAAGTTGTTTCTCCTACCCAGCTGCAGACCAACACCTCTGAAGCGTCTTGTCTCCATCTCCTCACCCTCACATCCTGAAGGCCCTGGTAAAGGTTATTCTGTTCTTTTGGGTTTGGTTTTGGTTTCTTTTGATTTTTTGAGAGGGGGTCTCACTGTGCACTTAAGGCTGGCCTTGAACTCGCTATACAGCCCAGGCTGGCCTCGAACTCAAAGCAGTCTTCTTGTCTCAGCTTCGGGACTGCTGGAGTTACAGGCGTGCATCATCACTACCAAAACTCCCTTAGAGGGTTCAGGTCTCCCATCCGGCAATACAGCACATGGATGCAAAAGAAAGACAGATTCCTCTGCAGTTGAGATCTGGGATGACCCAGTATTCCCTGTAGAACAAAAGGCCGTGAGTCCAGAAGCTCAGGGCTTTTATTGCTGTCAGTCAGGGAGGTGGGTGGGGGCCATGGCAGAGTACAAGGAAAAAGAAACTTTGCAGGCATCAGTTGTAAGGGGAAACAGCAACTTTGTACCAGGCACAAAGGCCTCCAATTAGCAATACAAGGACAGCTTAATGTATGCAAGGCTGGCACTTTTACTGCCAGGAAGGTATAATTCTGAGTCCCGTGGCCTCAGCTGAGATGTTATCTCATGTCTTGGCCCTGGAATCTCACAGGCGCCTGCTCGAGCCCCCATTCCAGCTATCAGCAGTGGGGGGCAGTTCTTGCCCATGTGCTGTAATGAGACAAGTTGGGGTCTTGGTCAGACTCCATCACATTCTTTTAGCCACTTAAGGGAACGTCTGTTTCAATATAGCCAGGTCTGCATATCTCAGAGAGCAGGGTTGAAGGAGAGGCTAGGGAAACATCCAGGCAAGGGGCTCCATTTCTCAGGAGAGTGCAGCTTGGCATCTCCCACATGACAGTCTCCTTTTCATGACTGAATAGTATTCAATTATGTATCTGTACCATGGTTTGTTTACTCATTATCCTTTAATGGTCCTTTCTTTTCTTTTCTTTTTTTTTTTTTTTTTTTTCTTTTCTTGTCCTTTTGAGACAGGGTCTCGCTATGCAGTTCAGGCTGGCCTTCAGCTCACTTTGTAGCCCAGGCAGGTCTCAACTACCAACAACCCTCCTGCCTCAGCCTCCCGAGTGCTGGGATTGCAGGTGTGTGCCACCATGCCAGGCTCTCAATGCCACATTTTTTATTAGTAGTAATCATGCCTTGGATACATTTCATTGGCTACAATACTGCCACTGGGCAAAGCTTTAATGCTATGTCTTGGTACTATCTTGGTTCTTGTGAATAGTGGTGCAATAAATGTACCAGGGCACATGTCTCTTCAACACCCTGATTTCAGTCCCTTTGAATATGTACCCAGTAATGGGATTCTGGATAATATAGAAATTCTATTTCTAGTTTTTTGCAAAACCTCCACAGTTTTCCATAATGGCTGTACTGATTTTTATTCCTACCCACAGTATATGAGAGTTCACCTTTCCCCACATCCTCACCAGCCCTTGTTACATTTTGTCATTTGTTTTCTTTTGCTTTGCTTTGTTTGTTTTGAGACAGGGTCTCATATCAGGCTGGCCTTGAACTTACTTTGAATTCATGGTTACAATGCAAACATGTACGTGCTAATGAAAAGTAAAAACTAAAAGGTAAAAAATACAATGATCCTCCTGCCTCAGCCTCCTAAGTACTAGGATTACAGGCACGTACCACCAGGCCCAGTTTATTTTTTTGTGTTTTTGCTATAGTCATTCTAACTGGGAAGAGATGGTATCTCACTATGGTTTTGATTTGCATTTCCCTAATGATTAGCCATGTTGACCATTTTTTCAGATACTTATTGGTCATTTGTATATCTTTCTTATATTTTCTCTCTTGAGAAATAACTATTCAGTTTATGTACACAATGTTTAACTGAATCATGTTTTTTCACTATTGTGTTCCTCAGATACTCTAGATATTCTTCTTCAAATGAATACCTTTCCAAATATATTCCCCCCTTCTATAGGTTGTCTCTTCACTCGGATTATTTCTTTGACTATGCAAAAGCTTTTTTAGTTTAATGTAATACTGTTTTTCAGTTTTTGCTTTCTGTTGCCTGTGCTTTTGGGGTCATATCCAAAAAATCTTTTCCCAGGGCAATGTCCTAAAACATTTCCCCTATGTTTTCTTCTAGTAGTTTCATAGTTTTGAGCCTTTTTTTTTTTTTTTTTTTGTCTTTTTGAGACAGGGTCTCACTATGCAGTTCAAGCAGGCCTTGAGCTCACTTTGTAGCCTAAGCTGGCCTCAAACTCGTGACAAACTTCTTGCCTCTGCCTCTTGAGTACTGGGATTATAGGTGTGCACCACCCCACCCAGCCTTTGTAGTTCTATGATTAAGTTTTGATCTAAAAAAAAATTTTAGTTGATTTTTTTGTTTTGTTTTGTTTTTATCTCCAGTACTGGGAATTGAACTCACGACCTTGCACTTGCCAGGCAGGCGCTGTGCCATTGAGCTAAATCCTCAGCCCCTTGATTTTTGTATATGGTTGAGAGATAGGGGTTCCTTTTTATTAACCCTCATCTGTATAGTTTATTTAAAAAAGCTGGGCGTGGTGGTACACACATATAATCTTAGCACTCTGGAGGCAGAGGCAAGAAGATTATGAGTTGGA